GGCCTAATTAAAGAAGAGTAGCCTAACATTGTCGCTGATTGGCCTAAAACACTCAAAACAAGCACTACAAAATAACAAAATCAGCCCTCTACGGACACCTTGGCAATTGAATCGCCATTGGCTAGTAAATTTTTTTGTTTACTCGCCAGACTGATAAAAAAAATAATAATTAAATAAATATATATATAGAGAGTACAGTTTCAGATATTTATAAAACTGTGCCATTTTACAAACATATATATATGTATATGTATGTGTGTGTGTGTTTGTAAAATGGCACAGTTATATAAATATCTGAAAGATATTTTAACTTAACATCAGTCATATAAGTCAGTCAAGCATTATAATATGATAATCAATATTATTTAATGATAGAACTTTAGTCATTAGAATTAAAACGTGATAACCATTTATGAATGCATATTTGTCATTTTAACTGAACTTCGGACTGGTGGTGGTACTTTTTTTGGTCATTCAGCGTTTCTGTAAAAAAAATACAAAAAATTGGGAGGGGGGAATCAAAGATACTGATAAGATGATAATGATACGAATTAATAAGAACAATATAAAACGCACTAAGGATTAATGAGCTACTGGATTCATGAATATTAATCAGGTTGTGTGCGTTCGCTCGAACTGATTTGCTGAAATCAAAACAGGGACGATAATAGGTGAGCGCCAGCCAATGAGATTGCCGTTTGCGCATTAGTTCCGCCCACTACCGGAGAACGCGGCAGTTCCTAAACGCTGAAGAATTCCAAAGGAACTCCGTTAATTTGACAGCAAAATACAACAAAGAATATAGTTTACATGTAGCGCGTCGAATTTGAAAAGCCCCAGCTAATATGTTGTGTTCTTTGCTCTTGGGGTGTGTTGGCCCTCCAAACAGCAAGCAGAAGGGAGGCGACTAGGTTCTGTGTATGACATACTGAGCTGAGAAAGCAGGCACACAATTAGGGTTGGAATGACAGGGTCAAGGACAGTAGGGAAACTACAGGTATGAGGCAATGTCACAGAAAAAATCATGGCATAACCCCCATGCCTTTTCTACAGAGGGTATTTAAGGATAGTTTATGGGATCAAAGGTGTTTAAGGTTAGGTGAATCAACAGTAATACTGTTCATAATGCATAAACATTCTCTCAGCCATCCCTATAACAACAGAGCACATAACCAGGCTCCTGAAGAGCTGATTTTTCATTAACTTTACATGATATTGACTTGTGAGCGTACCTCTCCAACTGTTGGTTAACCAAAAGGCCAACCAGGTTAGAAACATTTCAGACCTGGAGAGGTTTTGGGAGTCGCTATAGAGATTCACTGATTGTTGACCCTGTTTACTAGATGTGTGTGTCTAATATATATGTGCACATGTGTATATATGGGACTACTTGCTCACATATATACTATGCCTTGGAGAACATTTGCTGGTAACAAAATTAAAGCAACAAAATAAAAGTATGATAGAACTTTAGTCATTAGAATTAAAACTTGATAACCATTTATGAATGCATATTTGTCATTTTAACTGAACTTCGGACTGGTGGTGGTACTTTTTTTGGTCATTCAGTGTTTCTGTAAAACAAAATACA